AGGCAACAAGGCGAGTCAAAGCTTTTTTCAGCCATGCAACATTCCAAGTCTTGGAAGAATGGTGAACCGACATTCCTTGCAACGATAAAGGTTGATATAGTTGAGAAGGAAGTCCAACCAGTCCCAAGAGCTGTGGAGGCAGTCCTTAAGGAGTTTGTATATGTCATGCCCAAGGAGCTGACCAACACCTTACCACTTAGGAGAGAGGTGGATCATGCCATTGAGTTGGAACTGGGTGCCAAACCCTCTACCAAAGCGCCATATTGGATGACCCCTCCCAAGTTAGAGGAATTGAGGAAGCAATTGAAGCAGTTGTTGGACGTTGGGTACATCCAACTGTCCAAAGCCCCTTATGGTGCCCCAGTCATTGTCCAAAAAAAGAGGGAAGGAACACTGAGGTTGTGCATTGAATACCACGCACTAAACAAGGTAACCATAAAAAACAAGTATCCAATCCCTTTGATTGCAGATTTGTTTGATCAATTGGGAGGAACGAGGTACTTCACCAAGCTAGACCTACGCTCAAGATACTATCAAGTAAAGATTGCACCCAGAGACGAACCGAAGACCGCATGTGTAACAAGATATGGGTCTTATGAGTCTTTGTCATGCCATTCGACCTCACTAACGCCCCTGCAACCTTTTGCTCTTGGACAAATTTGTTGTGATTTACATTGATGATATTGTGGTGTATAACAATTCCTTAGAGAAGCACCTCGAGTATTTGCAGAGGGTGTTCCAAGTTCTTAGAGAAAACAAGCTATATGTGAAGAAGAAAAAGTGCTCTTTTGTCCAAGAAGAGGTTGAGTTTCTTGGTCACAAGATATGGGATAGACAATTGCTCATAGGGAAGGGTAAAGTGCGAGCCATTCAAGAATAGGAACCACCAACCAAGGTACCTGAGTTGCGGTCTTTCCTTGGATTTGTCAACTATTATCACAAGTTCATCAAGGGATATTCAGCTATTGTCGCCCCCTTAACGGATTTACTGAAGAAGAACAAGACGTGGCAGTGGATGCCACTATGCCAACATGCCTTCGACGAGTTGAAGAGGTCACTTGTGGAGGAACCAGTGCTGAGACTTCCTGATCTTAGCAAACCTTTTGAGGTACACACTAATGCATCATATTTTACTATTGGTGGTGTACTTATGCAGGATAGACACCCATTGGTTCTCGAGAGCCGAAAGCTCAATGACACCGAACGAAGGTATACTATTCAGGAGAAGGAGATGATAGTTATAGTGCACTGCTTGCGAACTTGGAGGCACTACCTACTTGGTTCTCTGTTCATGGTCAAGACTGACAATGTTACCACAAGCTACTTTTAGTCCCAACAGAAGTTGTCACCCAAACAAGCTACGTGGCAAGACTCGTTGGCGGAGTTCGGGTACAATTGAGTACAAGCAAGGGAAGACGAATGTTGTTGCTAATGCCTTAAGTTGGAAGGTCGAGCTAGCAGTAGTAGTGTGACCCCAAGTTATCTCTTGCAAAGAATACGAGAGGGCTTGTTACATGATCCCCTAGCCAAGAGTCTGCAAGAGCTTGTCAAAAATGGGAAGACAAGATGATTTTGGCTCAATGATGGTGTTCTCTATACAACAGGGACCCGAATTTATGTTCCAAGGTGGGACAATATGAGGCGAAAACTACTGAAGGAGTGTTACGACTTGAAGTGGCTGGGACATCCAGTCGTTCACCGAACTTTGGCATTGATGAGTGATTCTTACTACTGGCCACAGATGCGGGAAGATGTAGACTCGTTCATGCGGACTTGCCTTGTATACCAACAAAACAAGACAATGTAGAAGTAGCCAGGTGAGTTGTTAGAGCCACTTCTTGTTCCAACTAGACCATGGGAGACTTTGTCCATGGACTTCATCATGAGTCTACCAAAGTCGGAAGGGTGGCTCAATTTTGGTGGTGGTCGACAGGTTAACCAAGTATGCTACCTTCATCTCTGCACCGACGAATTACAACGCGGAGGAAGCTGCACGTTTGTTTTTGAAGCATGTGGTGAAGTATTGGGGGATTCCGAAGAGTATTATCAGTGACCGTAACATTTGCTTCGTTGGCAAACTCTAGACAGAGCTCTTTAGGCTACTTGGTCATAGCTGAACTTCTCTACCAGCTTTCACCCACAAACAAGCGGTCAGACGAAATGGGTGAATGCATTGTTGGAGTTATAGTTGCGGCACTATGTGAGTGCCAACCAACGAGATTGGGCAAAGTTTATGGATGTTGCTCAATTCTTATATAACTTGCAATGATCGGAGTCTGCAAGGTCAAGTCCTTTTGAGTTGGCAACAAGACAACAATCTTTAACACCAAACATAGTGGTGTCAGGCTACATAGGGAGTAGCCTCGCTGCATATAAGACTGCTAAGGACTGGCAGGTGACTAATAAGTTAGCTTGGGCTCAGTTGGAGAAGGCAACTTGGAAGATGAAGAAATGGGTGGACAAACATCGACGAGATGTTGCATTCCAACCAGGTGACCTGGTCTTTGTGAAGTTCAACCCCTCTTAACACAAGTCTACTAGAAAGGTACACAAGGAGTTGCTGAGGAGATATGAGGGTCCATTTCTGTCCTCCAAAGAGTGGGAAGAGCTGCTTACCGTATGGAACTACCACCCCAATTGAAGATTCATCTGGTGTTCCACGTGATCAATCTTAAGCCCTACCATGCTGACCCCAATATATATATACTAAAATGTTTTATAAATCTACAGTTTGTCTTATATTTGGAGTTACAACTTTGTGTACAGATCCTAAAATTCATACTTTCACTCCCTGTTATAAGGGGAGAAGCAACTCCTGTCAATAAGGGTATTGAGCATGGTAGGCTCCTTAAGCCACAACTTAATCAACTCTAGGAGCCTAGAAATCCATAAGATTTTGATGGAGGTGAGAGGAAGTAAAGAAAATCATCAACAACCCCCATCTGGTGTTGGCAGCATAGAGGTGATAGAAAAAGGAAATGCAAGTTAGTCTACCAAATTTATTGAATTCTACCAATAAAATGGTTGGCTGGAAAATTCACATGACATGTTGATGCTTGTCTCTACCATGATAGCAACTATGACTTATTAAAATGTCATGAACCCACCAGGAGGTCTTTTGCAAGAAACTACAACAGAAGGTAGTCACAGTCTAGATGCACAATGCTCTGAAAAACGACCCATGTTTTGCTAGCACTGCAGTCTTAGGCCATGCAAACTGGTCACAACATCTTTTCTACAAATACATGCTTATTAATTCCATCTGTTTTGTTCATATATGTTGATGATATGGTGGTTACCGGCGATGATGATGATGAGATGAAACATTGCAAAAGTATTTTGCGAGCGAGTATAAAGACTCAAAAGATTGTTAGGCCCTCTAGATATTAGTTTCAACAAATTGTGCAAGGTTGGGAAGGTTGAATTACCTTTCTCATACAAGGCCTTATATACCATATGCAGTAAGTGTGGTGAGTCAATTTATGCATAATGATATTGAGGCACATATGAATGGGCTAATCCGAATTTTGAGGTGTTTGAAGTCTCCTTCCGGTAAATGGTTCATGTTCTCAAAGAATAAGCACTTAGATGTGGAAAGGTATAATGATGTTGACTAGGCGGGTTCTATTACTGATAGACGTTCCACTTATGGGTACTTTACTTTTGTCGGAGGTAATCTAGTTACTTGGAGGAGTAAGAAGGAGAAGGTGGTGGCTAGATTGTTAAGGTCAAATTTAGAGGTGTGTCTAATTGTGTGTGTGAATTACTTTAGTTGAAGAAATGATTGAGATAACTTGGATTGGAACTTAAGAAGGCTATGAGTCTCTGTTGAGACAATAAGGCCGCCATTAAGATAGCACATAATCTAGTGCAACATGACTGTACTAAACATGTTGAGGTTGATCGACACTTCATTAAAGAGAATTTAGTGACTGAGTTTATTTAGTTTCTAGTTGTAAATTATGAAGATTAACTTGAGATACTATGACCAAAGCATGTCCAGTAGGGTGTTCGATGACTCAATTGACAAGTTGGGCATCCGAGACATATGTGCACAAACTTGAGGGGGAGTGTTGGCGAGAATATGTTTTTTTTTGTAATTAGCCCTTTGCATAGACCTATTTTAATTAGGATTTCTTTAATATAACTCTTTTAAGGTTTACCACTTTGTACATCTTTATAAATACATATATATTAGAGAAGAATATATATAAAAAAATTCTCATATACTTTGTTTGGCAGTTCCTTAGTCCGATTGCAGTTTTAGTCCTTTGTTTCTTCGAGTTTTAATCACACAAGCGGCATATTGAAGTCCTTAATAAACTAGCCATAGAAAAGAATCAATCCATACCAATTTCCCATTTGGAGCACAATGGCCTGATGAAAAGTTCAATTTATTAAGGTGCAAGACATCCACTGTACTTTATGTCTGAATCACCGTTTTTCTTTTGGGCTTTTTAGTACCAATAGTAGAGTGCCTATAATCAAACTGCATATGACATATTTGAGCTCATTCTACGACCCAAATAACTTAAAAGAATATTCAAGTGTTAAAACACAACCACGCTTTTTGGAATGAACACATACTAAACTAATTAGACAATAACAAATGGCTAATTGAGTTTTTTTCTCTCTCTCCAATTAGGCTATCCAGTTGTTTTTGTATCAATATATAATTATCATGGTGTATTTTTTTTTTTTTTTCCTAATTCATTCACTATGTTCATTCACTATGAGAAAGGATAAAAAAAAAAAGAACTGAGTGTAGGTTTAGAAAAAGGTGGGTAGAAATAGATTCAGCAGCCAGCCAATGGGAAAATAAATAGGGAGGGAAGAGAAGAGGGTGGAAGCTAGAAGACGAAAGGCATGAGGTGGAGTTTGATGGCAGCAGCAGGTTCCCAGAAGTAGACGCCAGCACTCAAGATTTGACTTCCTCCCCAAATACCAGTTTTTACCTACTCTTCCTCAAACAAAACAATCCCAATCAAATATTTTTCTTTTCAATATTTATAATTTTATATATTGGAGGCTACCTCTTCGCTATATACAAATGCACAACAGGAACAATAGTAAATGCTTTGCATTGACCAGTCTTCATAGCACAAAACTAAAAAGAACAAGGAAAAAAGAAGAAAGGAAGAAGAAGAAGAACGAAGAACGAAGACTCAAGACTCGCTTGTGTTGCTGCTTGAAAATCGTAGGGGTGTTTGGTCGATGGGAAAGTGAGAGAGAAAGAGAGAGAGAGAAAAAGAGAGATGAGTAGTCGAACGAGCTCGAAGAAAGCAGCGGCGGAGGCGGCGGAGGCAGCGATACAGTCGATAGGGTTAGGATATGATCTGACGGTGGACTTGAAGCTCAAGTACTGCAAGAGGCAGCAGTCAGCGGTTGGGGTTGGGGTTGACTCTCGCTTGATCGCCATCGACGACGACCAAGTTCGTGAAATTGCAATTCCAGGCGCCGGTGGGCTTTGCATACCCAATGTCCCCAAATCCATCAAATGCGACAAAGGCGAGCGCATGAGGTTCGGCTCTGATGTTCTCTCCTTTCAACAGGTCCGTTGTTTGTGCTTTCATCATTTGTCTTCATATTGATTTAAAGTTTTATACTTTCTTCATTTTTCATTTTTGTTTGTTGGTTTAAATACAAATTAATATATGAATTGTTGGGTTGGTTCGATGTAGATGTCAGAGCAATTCAACCAGGAATTGACTCTGTCTGGTAAAATCCCAACTGGGCATTTCAATACAGCATTTGAGTTTACAGGAGGATGGCAGAAGGACGCTGCCAACACCAAAACACTCGCTTTTGATGGAATCTCCATCACACTCTACAGCGTTGCTCTTGAAAAATCCCAGGTTGCCTTGCGTGACCATATCAAACAAGCTGTCCCCTCATCTTGGGATCCTGCAGCACTCGCAAGGTTTTACATATTAGTTCACATCTCATCTAACTGATCATCTGATAAATGCTCTACTCAACTTCACGAACTGATTACATTTTCCTCTTAATGTTTTCTTCCAGATTTATTGACAAGTACGGTACACATGTCATAGTCGGGGTGAAAATGGGCGGAAAGGATATGATATATGCCAAGCAGCAGCACTCATCACCTCTCCAACCTGCTGATGTACAGAAAAAATTGAAGGACATGGCAGATAAGATGTACATAGATGGAGCTGGTCAGTCTAGTGTGAATTCGGAAAAATTCTACGAGAGAGACAAGGTTTGAAGAATTTCATTTTATGCTTAATACCATTCAATTCAAATATCAATGGGTCTTTTTGCTAAATGAACTTTCTGGTCATACCCCATGTCACTGAAATTTAACATATCAGTTTGTGTATGTATAGAGATAATTTAGGAGTGTTTTTGCACAAAGCACACTTTTGTTTGGTACACAGAAAATTTCATTAAAAACCCATGTGCTATTATCTATTCACTTAGAAGCGCTTCCTACGGAATCTCTTAGAGACTGTTTGGGAGTGCTTCTGTGCGAAATACTTTTACTCAGTAGCATGGTGCTTTTGTTAGAAGAAAATACACAAGTTCTATATATGTTTTAGTCAGTAGCCTAGAAACCCAAGTTCTATATATGATCCTTGAAGGAGAATCTGAAAAATGGACATTCATGATCATTGGATTGCTATGGCTGTTTCACAATTGAGGAAGATGTATAAATTACAATAAGTTTTTTTCACTCATTTATTACGATTGTAAAAGTCCAATTTTTTTCTTTCCATCTGTAAACTTCAGCGGCTATATTTTTTTCTTGCAGTATATATGTGGTATCTTTTTTCAGAAAAAAGGGCTTTCTGATGTTGATATGATGAAACTTTTCTTGAAACTTTCTTTGGTCCATTTTTATGTACTTGTACCTATTTCGTGAAACTTTATCTGGTTGTTTTTAGAAAAGCTCTTATGTATGATTTCACCATAGAGTTATCTTGTTTGTTCTGGTGCTTGGATGTGTCTCATTCTAACTTTATTAGAATTGAAGTTTTAATTTAAAATTGAGTCCTGTTTTTAAGCTTTTTATGTTACCGTGGTTCAATAATGTATTATGAAAATTGGCCCAATTTAGGAGATAGATTACGCTTTTTTGGGTTACAGCAGACATTACTTTTGCCACTTTTATACAATTGAAATCATGCCAGATTTGTATCATGGCATATCGTATAGCTACCTTAACCTCTGTCTTAATTTCGTTTCAGTTGGTCAAGGAGCGCGGGCGAGCTATCATGGACACAATCCCTTCCAGTTCGTACTCATTTGTAGAGGTACTTTAAGAAAAGACAGAACGAAAATCTCTATTTTAAATGTAAATTATGTCGGGTCAAAGCTCTTTCTTGGTACCAATTAGATTAAGTGCTATGGAACTTTATGAGTTCTGATTGTTATTGAACATTTCTTTAACTGTTTATATCAGTAGCGACGTTGTGGTGCTTACCAGTCATAATTTTTTTTTAAAACATTGAGTTATTGAACATTTCTTTAACTGTTTGTATCCTTATTCTTTTGTCTTCTTTTGCTTATACTTTTGTCTTCTGTTTGTACGATTAATCGAAAATAGAGCCGTAAAATTTTGAGATGTAGGAAATTAAATCTTGGAGTTTTCTGAGGTTGAAACTGTCTGTACTTGAGTGGTAGATGATCTTTCTAGCTTACTGGTTTAATGTTCTCAAATGTTTAATTTGGAGTATTATCAAACTATAATATTGAAGCTCATATCTCTTATGTACTTTAGGTGCAGGATATTAAATTCATGTGCAAGAGGAAGGGTGGAAGCTTGTATAAAAATCTACCCTACAATGAGTGGTGTCACACAGTTCAGATTGAACCTGATGTGATCTCCATGTCATTGGTTCCTATTACATCGTTACTGAGTGGGATTCATGGGAGCGGATTTTTAAGTCATGCCATTAATCTCTATCTTCGTTGTAAGCTTAATCCTTCTCTCATTAGTAAATTAGTTTTCAAAACTTCTAATTGCATGCCTAGGGAAGAAGTATCCTCTAAAACTAATATCCAATAGTTTCCTTTCATTGCACAAAAACAATGTTATATTGTTGGTTTCAAACAGTTAAGAACATTCAATACAACAACACAATTTGCTTTGTATGAAATTTTGTTGTGTGTACCCTTGTACGGTTTTAATATTTTCCCTTTTATGCTTAGCTTTTATGAATATCTATCGTGTTGTGTGTTACATCTGAATCCAGTACTTAAATGGAGGGGAGTTTTTATTTATTTTTTTGAAAAGGAAAAATGGAGGGGAGTATTAATGTGTCTTGTTGTGTGGTAGACTGAATGTACTTTGTTGGTTTTGCCTTCTAGCTTTTGTACTAGCAATTTTATAAGTATCATGCTTTATATAAGCGTATCTTACATGAATATAGTCTAGAGATTAATCTAAACAGTCTGAATGTTTAGATTTTGCATTTCCCTTGGTTCACATATTTTGTCTACTTTATTATTTTGGGTGTCCCAGATGTGTTCAAATTAAAACCTCTATCTGGATTCTGTCTGTATAATAAGCAGATGGAGTTGGATTGAAGGATAAACATTAATATAGAAAAGTTTTGATTTATTTAAGGACTAGTCAAACCTCCCATTAACCTTCTATGAATTGATGCAAAATTTGTGGTTGTGGGTGGTTAGTTATTGGTCGGAAATGAACTTCAACTGAGACCTTTTGGTTATGCCACCCTAATCAAAATGGGCTTACTACACTATAGCAATAGTTCTTAAATATACTTATAATTTAAGTAATAAAATCCAATAAATGTGATATTGACGGTTTGTTGGCTGGTGATTATTTGTATAGCCATGTTCATGTTTCATCCGCAGACTTATGAATTTTATAGATTCTCTCAGGTTACAACATACAAATATTATCTTCTTCTTTTCTTTTTCTTTTTTCAGTTCTGAGTCCATGCAATAATCTTTTTAGATATCTAGTTCCATAAATCATATTGGGCATATGAGCTGATCCGCTGCCACTCTATAATATATATATTTTTTCTTTTTGGTTCCTGGTGGTGGGTGTCACTATGTTTTTTTTTTTAATGCAATGTGCTTGTTTATTCTTTTCATTATTTTACCCTTTTGACAGATGTCTATTTCAGACCCCATACTTATGGTTCCTGGTGGCAGGTGTCACTGTTTTCTTTATGCAATGTGCTTGCTTATTCTTTTCATTATTTTATAACTAGCCTTTTGACAGATGTCTATTTCAGACCCCATACTTATGGTCTCTTGTAAGTTATAACAATAATAATAGATATGTTCATCCCATCTGCTTCCGTCCTGCAACTTGCAGCCGCAAGTTCATTTCTCTTTGCATTGAGAATTTAAGGAAAATGTTAAACGATTCTTTTCTTTTCTTTTTTATTGTTGGCAATTTTTATAAGTGCAGATAAGCCGCCAATTGAAGAACTGCATCAATTTTTGGAGTTTCAACTTCCAAGGCAATGGGCACCGGTGTTTGGTGAGCTTGCGCTTGGTCCTCAGAGGAAGCAGCAAAGTAGTGCATCTTTACAGTTCAGCTTCATGGGTCCTAAGCTTTATGTTAATACAACTCCGGTAATGGTATTAGTATTGTGTTTTCTTTGGAATTTGTCTTAGTATTGCAGAAGAAAATGGATGTATCGTATTGGTAGAAGAGTAATTGCACCATTCCATTAGTTAAAGTTGAACTCAAATGAGACTTGAAATCTGAAGTAAAGCTTATTTTTCTAACTAGTTGATTTCCATGTGCTACTTGTGCAAGGGTTAAAAGACAATAGATTAAGCTTTAAGCAGTTCCATAAACAATTTAGTGGATGCGTGATTATTCAGTTTTGTTAAATGAGATCATGCCGGGAAGAGGTATGAATAACAACTGATGAATGTATCCATGTCATTTTCTCTTAACTATGAGACCTTCAACAGGAAGGTTACGAGCAATGAATAGCTAAATTAGATTAAGTGGCTTATACTCTAAATACCAAAACTTTAGGATGCCAGCTAGTCTCTCTTGTTTTCCCTCCCTATTCCCTTTGATTTACTATACTATCCCCAAATTTTCTTGGTTATGATATAAGGGAAATGGGTTAAATAATTTCACAGGAAATGACATGGTTAAATTCTTGATGGTGGTAAATTTTGGTTTCTTTGCAGGTCTTTTGGGGAAACGTGCATTTTATTTATTTATTACTACTTGTGTTTAAAATAAAATTTATGCATTCTAGCATCATGATGATTTCTGATGAATTACATGACAGGTTGATGTGGGTAAGAAGCCAGTGACTGGTCTCCGATTGTATTTGGAGGGAAAAAGAAGTAACTGCTTAGCAATCCACTTGCAGCATCTTTCTACGCTGCCAAAGACCTTCCTACTCCAGGATGAAGTGAATGGCAATATTTCTCATCTTTCATCTGACCGGAGATATTACGAAAAGGTTCAATGGAAGAGCTTCTCTCATGTATGTACAGCTCCTGTGGAGGCTAACGATGATTTCTCTGTTGTCACTGGTGCTCACTTTGAAGTTGGAGACTCTGGCCTGAAGAAAGTTCTATTTTTACGGCTTCTTTTTTCGAAAGTTACTGGTGCAACTAATGTTAGACAAGCTGAGTGGGATGGTTCCCCTGGCTTGGCACAGAAATCTGGATTAATTTCGACTCTTATCAGCACGCGTTTCTCGAGTGCTCAGAAACCACCTCCTCGGCCTTCTGATGTGAACATAAACTCCGCTGTGTATCCTGGGGGCCCTCCAGTGCCCACACAGACACCTAAACTTTTGAGGTTTGTTGACACAACAGAAATGACTAGAGGACCACAGGATTCACCTGGGTATTGGGTTGTGTCGGGGGCAAGGCTTATGGCTGAGAAGGGTAAAATATCTCTACGAGTCAAGTATTCTCTCTTGACCATGATTTTACCTGATGAAGAAGAGATGCCAGATAATTATTGAAAGCGGATGGCTAAAGAGTAACAAACATGAGACAGAGGAAAAGAGAATTACATCAGGTTTGTGGTACATTCTCGATGTTCATCATCACAGATGGAGAGATTCTGTTCAAAATTTAATGAGTTTGTTGTATATAACTTATCATAATATGTGCGTATGTGTAAAATTTTCTTCATTTGTTGTAGATTAACCTTTCTGGTGCTGATATTTGAATATTTGAATTGGATGAGTTAATTGGCAAAATTTGTTGTGATTTTTGAACCTCTTTTGTTGGATAGCAATTTCTTCATCACTTATCGATGCAATCCTTTTGTTTTTTCTTTTCTGAAACCAATTTTAATTTCCTTTTAAGCAGACAGTTTATAATGTATGAATACTAAATTGGACCGCATTATGGACTATGTCAAATATCATGGATCTTATGATTGACTCGTTTGGTTAGTTGGTGATCACCATATGTTCCATCTGGTAAAGTGATTTACAAATTAGTGTGGGGCCCACTAATCCATTTTATCTTCTTAGTCAATTGAGCTTGTTTTGTTTTGTGTTCTTTCTTAATCTCTCTTCGGAGCCAACTAACTCCATTGAGCTTGTTTGTTTTTGCCTAATTTATTGCAAGAAAATCATGTTTACAGCCTCCTAATCCCCTCCACCCCCATGTTCCTATTTTTTGTGATCTCCATTTTGTTGAGCAGAAAGGTGAGTTTTATGACTAAAATGAGCTATATTTTGATGGAAATACACATTTAAAGTTGGTCACGTGATGATATATGACCAAATTTGACAGAAGTTTTGTTGAAATGCAACAGTAGGGACCAAATTGATTTTGTAGAACCACATTGATTGATTTGAGAGTTTGAGGACTAATTCTAAACATTTTAAAAAGTTCATGGATCACATGTGATAGAAACCTACTGAAGTAACGTAGAAAAGAAAAGCAAGAAAAAAAAAAAAGCATTTTAGGCTTGATTTTTTGGGTTCAGATCTTTGATAAAAAGTTTTGATGGTTGGACTTGATGCTTATAAAAAGGATTTTGGGTGTGATTTTTTGAGAACTTATCTATAAATAACAAAAGCTTAATCTTTTCAACTGTGAAAGGAATTTGCAAAACCATATGTATAGAAAGATATTACTAGACTGGAAACATTAACATATTTGAGTTGATTATTTGGTTATTAAATGTAAGAAAAGGAAGGTGTTTTTAGTCTGGTTTGAAGGCATAATTTAGTCCTGAGCACTAGTTGTATTTGTACCAAGACTAGTGGCGGTGTCGATGAGTATAGACATGCAATTTCCGATTGTCTATTTGCAGGAGGAGCATGAGTGTGACGTTTGTATGTCTTTTGTATTCTCTCTTGACCAAGGAAGGTCAGGTAGGGTGACACCTGGCGGGGATTAGAAATCCATTTCATGTTTGCTCCAGTCATGTAGCGACATCTGTGTTCGAGTTGGTGTGTTTAGGGAGGTGGTCATAAAGCAAGTTCCAACCACTCCTAACTTGCTTTAGTTAGATCATTTGGAGAGGGTGCTTATGTGATATTTGATCAACTATCCTACTCGGGTGAGCTCATTGGTGGCAACCAGATCAGACAACCGCTCAGGGGTATGTTGGTGGTGCGTCATCTTGAGTCATCTTGGGCAGGTTGGGTCAGGCGGTGACCGTTCCAAAATTTCCTTTAATTTAGAGAAAAAAAAAAGGGATTAAATTTACCATTTGGGCCTTGTGAATAGTAACTTTTAGAACTTTTGATTGGTATGTGTTTTGAAATTTTTTTCCTGTCACGAGTTCGTAGACCTGTGCTATGTCCGAATCGGGGTAATTTGAAAAAGTTATGCTCATAGAAAGTTGTTACCCTCTTTTCGGCCAGGGCGGCTGACGGAAGGAACTTTTGGTCCTTCTTCTTTTGGATGTGGAGCGTGCCACCACCAAGTCTTGAAATTGGGCTTGAATGGAATGAAAATAGATTGATGTGTTGCGCTTCTAACTTTTGACCAAATGATTGATCGACCAAGCAAGGAACCTCTTCTTGGCCTAGATTCTTTCACTTTCTCGGGCTCGAGAATGGTTAGGTTTCGTACGGATGTTTTTGTGATTTTTATGGTTTAAGTAAAAATAATGCAATTAAACTAAATATGCGTATAAACGTAAAGACAAGAATTGAAATGCGATAAAATAAATCAAAGCGATAGATAAAGCAAGAATGAAATAAAAGCGATAAGAACGATAAGAACGAAAAGGAAATAAACTTGAAATTAAATTTAATTGAAGTGCATAACAATTAAATGTAAAGGTATCGAAATAAACTTGAATTGAAATGATAAGAAATATAAACCGAACAAGAATTTAAATGACAGGGAAAATATAAACTTACACTAGAAATATGAAGAACTCACTACACTAGAGCTTCCAGTACAAAAGTCGGGCAGCAATTCGCACACCCACAACACTCGGCCGCATCTCTTTGGGCAACAACAATCCGGCCGCATCTCCTTGGGCAACAAAAATCCGGCCGCAATCTCCTTGGACAACAACAATCCGGCCGCAATACATCCATTCCAAGCCCGACTGCAATTTTCCAAATCTGCCCAGTCGCTTTCATCACCTCTGGTCGCACCAAATTGTGCCTAGTTACATTCGGGCCTCACTCGAACAATTCTCGGCCGCCAACACTCCAAGCAGAGCTCGGCCACTCTCTCAACCACGCAAGCATCTGGCTATGCTCTCGCAAGCCCCTTCCTCCAACGGCTGCCCAGCTTCATTCAGCCCAACTCTGTAGTTGAGAAGCCCCGCCGCTCTTCTTCTTTTGTCCTGTCAATTCTCGTGCCCGGGTTAGGTAGATTTCTACCACCCCCAAACATTGCCCCCCGATTTGTTTAGCTCGGAATTGGTATAGAGGTAAGCAAATTGAAACCCAAAACCTTTCAATTTCTGAAATTTGAGATTTTTCTTTTTTGCTTGCCTTGCACGTTATTAAATTTTGAATCGGGTAGGAATTTAGGAAGACACCAATTAAATTGGAGAGACTTTTGAACTTTCTATCCGTTAAAACCCTAGATATTACAAATATCCAAGAGTTCTCTTCCATTTTCACATAAACACTTCCACCATAGCTATGGGCTGGTTTTCCAAAACCCATATCTTTTCTATCTTCACATTCATCATTTCGCACACCGAATCCACCCGAATCAACATCAAACTTGAAATTTGCAAGTTTCTAGGTATGTTGTACTAATTCTTGGTTGATTTTGGTATGATTTTGATGCATCTATAGCCTTCAAAAGTTTAGACTTGAAACTTTGAATATATGAATAGTGCCATGATGTTCTTCGTGTTCTTGATTCGAATCTTGTTTGCTTCACTATATTTCTCTTTGATTCGATTTTACACCATGTTTGTAGGATGGAATCCATTCCAAGTGATAGCGGCCAATTTTTTTGAAGATATGAAGGTGGTCATGGAAAAAGACTTGGGCAAGCAAGTATTTGCCTATTTTCTCAATGCCTTTCCCAACTCCGCCCAATATATTCTTGGCCTATTTTTCTCTGCCTATCCGGAGGAGGTGGCCAAAGTATGGGTGACGCAACCAAGAAGTGGCCCAAATTATTTTTCAGACTTCACATGGGCATCCATTTGGGAGAGCACCAAGCCATTTAAAGGTTGGCCGATGGGAACCCCCCTCAAATCGGATCCCATCGCAACAAAAGAGGCATCAAAGAAAGCATCATCCGCCGCCGGGAAGCCCGACCACTCAAGCTCGGCGGATGGCAAGTTTGATTGGTATCATTGGTTCAAGGCTTTGGAACCAAAATTGAAGGGCTATTGGAAGAAAATTGGGATTTATGATACATTGCTCCTATGTGCGGGAAGCCCATTTCCCTGCGACCGATCTCTCATCATTGCGGCCCTATGATTTTGGTCTTCCTCCACCAATTGCATGAGGCTCCATTTTGGGATGATGACGCCCAACTTGCTAGACTTGGCCGCTATTGCCGGCCTCCGCCCTCATGGAGAGTATTTCTCGGCCGCCAACCTTCCGGATGGCAAAGTGGGCTTAGATTTTCACAAGTCAAACAAGACCTTCGGGAGGTGGGTGAAGGCATATCTTGGCCATGGCGGAGATCCCACCGACCCTCCTTCCATCAATGGCGTATCCTACACTGAGCATGTGGCTTTCCTTGTGATGTGGTTGTGCAAGTTCTTGGCATGCCCAAAATCCGGCGGGATCACAAAGGAATTTCAAGCCTTGGCGTTGGTGGAAAGAAATGTCAGCCGGTTGGTTTTCTCAACCATGCTCAGAGATTGAGGATAGGATCTTCAGGCGTTGCCCATGCTCATTGGTCTTTTAGCAAGAGAAAGAGAAGAAGAAGGCCCAAGCAAAAGGTAAAATATTTGCACTTTCTTCCTATTTTAATTTTTGGCTATCTTTCTTTTTCCTAACCCTTCAAATCTCATAGTTGACACCGCCGAGAAGGAAAATCCCCCCTTCCCCCCGACATTATTGAGAGAGAGAGCTCGGCCAAATCTGCCAGTACACATTCTGGGCGGGCCGAGAAAAGGCCCAACGCCCCCATCCAAGGTAAGCTATCCTCCATGATTATTTTTGCCTTTTAAATATTTGCACTTCTAGCTTTCTGAATTCTTGATGGGCACATTTAAAAGCTTAAAACTCCAACTTTTTAGGAGATAGCCCCGCCGGGAATATTTTTCCTTCTCAAACATTCCTTCGGCCCAGAAAAGTTCCGCGGAACCTCTCACCTCAAGGTTTGGCCGTGCACTTTTTTGTTTTTGTTTTTGTTTTTTTGAACATTTAAGGATGTGACTAAAATAAGCTTGTTGCAGGTTCCCCAAGGCCGGCGGATCATCCTTCCTCTTCTCATTTGGTCGGGGCCGTGCAATCGGCCACCACTTCATCCGCCGCTCCAGTAAGCTTATATCTCTACATTCTTTCATTCATTTAATTTTGAAGGGCAAAAACTCACCCTTATGCCCAAAAATGTAGGAAACTCAACCTCCCACACTTAAGAAGGGAATTGGGGCGCAAGTTATGACTTCGATGGGCGAGGATGAGGTAAATCCATCTCCTTAGTCGTTTGAATTTTCTCTTACTTCTTTTGTGCTGACTAAATTTTCAAACTTAGTCGGCCGAGATCACTACCACGGAGTACCCGGAGGATGTTTCCACGGGGTCACACGAGATTACTCCCATGCCCGATGATCACGTCCATGACCACGTGGCCGAGCTGACCGAGGAAGACTTCCCACATGTTCCGAATTCTCAGGTTCATTGAAATTTCATACTTTTAAAATTTCTTTTACACTTGCCCCTAATTTCTTATCAATGCTTGCACATGTTAGCGGGCCATTTTTGGCCCCACCTTTCTTCGGCCGATGCCACGGCCATTGAGGCCGAATTTCAGCCCCTCTTTGCCATAAGTTCGGGCTCTCCCTTGACCCGCCCTCTCGAGGCGCCCCAAAGTGGCCCAACTTTTCAGGTGATCTTACTCTCCCTTAATGTTTTTTCAAAGCTTCATATTTGTTAGAGAGCTCACATCCTCCTTTTTTAGGCGGATGTGGTAGAGTCTACTGCCATTACTATTGACCATGCGATCGTCATCAATGGTGTGCCTTCCATTATTCCCACCGACAGAAGTGCACCACCTGAGCCCGTCCCTATGTTGACCTCAGGAGCTCCTACCTTGGTTGTCGATGCTATTCCGTCCGAACTTCAACTTAAGTTACGCCCCGAATTTTCTTGTTTATTTCAAATAAATGGGCCATTATTGTAATCCTTATACCCTTTTGCTAGATTGGCGAGTCTTCATCCTTTGTGCCCGCCGAGATTACCATGGATCCATCAGCGGAGGATGGAGGAAACTTGGCCATGGTCCCCTATGAAGAGGCCCCTCTACCATCCCCTGATCAGGTATGAAACAAGAAATACATACATATGCACATATGCAATTTATTTTCCCTACTTCAAATATAATGCCCATTTTTCTTGCAGCCCTCTGGTGATATTCTTGACTTCCTAGATCAGTAGGATGCATCTATATCCTCCGCGGAGGCTTCCACTCGCCTTGCCACTTCTTCCACATCGACCGGGGCCCTACCAGATTCCTGGGCTGAGGCCATACTTCGGTCATACAGAGATGGAGACCTCATGTCCTTGGAGGACAAAGATGAGAGAAGCAAGCTCAAGGCCGCCATTGAGACTTTGGCGAGTTCACGCTTTTTCCCTAATCCACGCTCGGTGGCTATGATTACTCATCTCTTTGGTCAGGTGGAGAGATTTGCCCGCGCCGCTGTCCTTTTCTAGAGGAGCAAAGGATAGGCCAAGACTTGGAGCAGCAGATTACCTCATGTAGTGCCACCATGAGGAGGGAGATCGAGATCGCCCGCCAAATGCAACAGGAGGCTGTGGATATCGATGAGCAGGTGAGGCAGCTTCAAGAAAGAAAGGCTGGCATTCTTGCCAAAGTCTCTGAGATTGTCCGAAGGAATAGGCCTCTCGAGCCTCAACTTCGACAGGATGCAGCGGCGGCAGGAGCGTATTGAGAGAGGAAGTTGATGATTCAATCTACCTTGTCCGCCGGAGACACCGCGATGGAGAGTTTTAGGACTGCCCTCCACACCCTGATGCTTAGGTTCATACTTGGCCATGGTTGACCCATTTTGTACTTAGCTAGTTTCCTTTTATTTGGTCACCATATATGGTAGAATTAGCTTAGTTATTATTTCTTGAACCTTTGGTGGATGCTTAGGCCATTACTTGGCCCCATTTTGTAGTAGACTTTTGCCCACCTATATATATATATGATATCTTTTGGAAGAGATCCTTTTATGATGCTCACTCTTCCAATGAAAAATCATTATTTTATTATGACATATTTCTTCGTGGCGGATTATCTCTCCGCCATTTCCCAAACGGTTGGGTAATATTTTTTCAAAAATCGACCATTGATCGACGCATCATGGACCTGACCATTTTGGTCACTTAACTTGTACGCCCCCTTTCCTAACACTTGGTGGACGAGAAATGGGCCTTCCCAAGTTGGAGACCACTTGCCAAATTTTGGATCCTTTGATCCCACCAGAAGAATGGTCTTCCATACAAGATCTCCGGCCCCAAAACTCTTGGCCTTGTTCTTCTTATCGTACGCTCGAGCCACGGCCTCTTTTTGGGCCTTCAATCTATCTAAAACGCCCAATCTGACCTCGTCAAGGTCATCTAACTCTTGTGCCATGGCTTGCTCGTATTCGTCCTCACTCCATTCGGCATGGCGGACCACCCTTAGAGACTTAATCGAAATCTTAAGTGGCAAGACGGCATCATGGCCATAGGTGAGGGCGAATGGGGTTGTTTGCGTGGCAGACCTCTTTAAGGTTCTATACGCCTATAGAGAGTTGGAAAGAAGAGAGATCGGTCGCAAGGAAATGGGCTTCCTGCACATAGGAGCAATGTATCATAAATGCCAATTTTCTTCCAATGGGCCTTCAATTTTAGTTCCAATGTCTTGAACCAATGATACCAATCAAACTTCCCATCCGCCGAGCTTGAGTGGTCGGGCTTCCTAGCGGCGGCTGATGCTTTCTTTGATAGGGCCTCTTTAGTTGCGGCGGGATCCATTTTGGGAGGAGTTCCCGTCGGCCAACCTTTGAATGGCTTGGTGCTCTCCCAAATGGGCGCCCATGTGAAGTCTGAAAAATAAGTTGGGCCACTTCTCGGATGCGTCACCCACACCTTGGCCACCTCCTCCGGATAGGCGGAGAAAAATGGGCCAAGAATTTATTGGGCAGAGTTGGGAAAGGCATTGAGAAAGTAGACAAATACTTACTTGCCCAAGTCTTTGTCCTTGGCCACTTTCATATCTTCAAAAAATTGG